AAGTGCGAGGACCAGTCAAAAATAACTTTTTCAGCTCTCTGAGTAGTCCATATGCACAAAAGGACTACCCAGAGGGCTGAAAAAAGTGATTTCTGACAGGTCCTCGCATTTTTGACCGGTCTTCACACTTATGACTGGTCATCATTTATGCCCATTGTAGCATTCTTAACAACCGTTAAGTCATTTCACAACTGCTTCTCTTCACCATGGTGACAAGATAGGGCAAAAACATAAAATGTGAGGACAGTCGTAAGTTCGAGGACTGGTCAAAAGTGCGAGGACCAGTCAGAAATAACTTTTTCAGCCCTCTGAGTAGTCCATATGCATAAAAGGATACAGCAATAGAGAGGGATGAAGGAAGTGAAGGGATATTATAGTAGGAGTGAGGGTAAGAGAGGGAGGAAGAGAGGAGGAGAAGGAGAAAGGAAGAGGAAGTAGGGAGGAGAAGAAGAGGGGGAGGAAGAGAAAGTAAGAAGGAAAGAAAAGAGAGAGGTGGTAGGTTTGAGGAGAAAGATTGCTGTACAATAAAAAAGATGAAAGGGAAGAAAGCCAACCCCAAACAAATATAAAGATATTAAGATAAAGAATGAATTGTTAAACTTTAAAGAATAAGAGAGAACAAAAATGAATAAATAACAATAATTAGAAACACACATACAAACATACAATGTATTTTCTTTGAACAGAGTATTTGGCCGGTTCACAAATTTAAACAGTGTTTAGTCATTTCAATTAAATTTACAATTTCTATATTTCCTTTTTGCCATATTTATTCCTCATCTATTTTTGTAAAAAACCAATATTACCCTTCATCTTCATCTCTAATCTTAATCAAATTCAATTTTTCCCTTCTATTCTATATTATACCCCTTCCCGTTGTCATCTATTTTTATATCCATCCTCACATTGGTTAATTATGTAATATTGCAGTTGTTTAATATAAATTCAACATTTTAATATAAATCAATTAGTTATATAACTACCTTTTTTGTATATTGATCAATATGAACATGAATATTCCAATTATTTCCATGCAATCCAATTTCTTACAAATCAATTAATTATATTTACCAATAATAATAAACCAAATAATTTCCCCCATATATTCCTCCAAACCACAACTTAACCATTTCTGCTTTCAACACAATATACAATTAACAGTATCTCAATTATTACAATTCCCTAGTTAAATAGAGCTTTTTTTCTTTTGTGTTTTAAAATCTTGAACTCTCCTCTTTTTCCCTAAATTTCCCATTGTTTGCACCTACCTTTTTTGGTGAGGAAAAAGAAAAGAAATCTGCCTGCCTAATTTTCCAACGTTGCAGCAACAGCAAAGCCAACAGCCTGCTTTAGTTTCAGTTTCGTTTTTCAGCATAGCTAGGGGGAAAAAAATCTGCTCCAGCAAGCAGCAGAGCCCTGAGCAAAACAGCTGAGAGCAAATCAGCTGAGAGTCGGGAGCCGATCTAATCAAGGGCTAATTAGCCTATGCTGAAGCTCCACGGGCCAATAAAATTACAAAAAAACACCGAACCATTTGTTAAATTGCTGGCTTGCCCGCCCCTCGCCCACCACTATTTATTGGCAATAAATAGTGGTGCGGAGGGGTGGGGCAAGCCACCAATTTAACAAACGGTTCAGCCGAACCCCCTAGAACCAGCAGAATCCCACCACTGGCTATAGGGCAGCCTTTTGAAACCCCGCGGCAAGACAGTTTTGTTTCCTCTAGCCATCAGCTGGGACTCAGGAGGCAGCAATAGATTGGGAGTGGGCGGGGTAAACGAACGGCCGGCGAGCCAACAGAGCAGAGAGTGAGGGTGAGTGAAGGCGTGGGGGGGGTGAGAGAGGGCTTTGGCGACTCCTGTGAAATCGCCGTTCGACCCCCAAAGGGGTCACGACCCCCAGGTTGAGAAACGCTGCTCTACAGGAATGAAACTGTGTAGTATGATTTGAGCAGTAAGATAGAGACAGGAATTCCTATGAACAAAAAAAAAAATGAATCACCCACAAATCTACAATGCCATAGAAGTTCAAGGGAAGATAACTTTGCTAATGTTTCTAGTAAACCTGAAGTAAAATCAAAAATCAGTTCAGTACCATAAGCAGCTGTTATGATATCAGTCAAGATATAAAGAACCAATCCTAAATTGGGGCACAACACTTATATAAAGGTACCATGACTACAAAATGCTGAAGTTCTTGATTTTAAAGAAAACTAAAATGCAGGCAAACATGTAGCAATAGCACTTAGATTTATATACCAGTTCACAGTGCTTTTATAACCCTCTCTAAGCAGTTTACAGAGTCAGCCTATTGCCCCCAACAATCTGGGTCCTCATTTTACCCACCTCGGAAGGATGGAAGGCTGAGTCAACCTTGAGCCTGGTGAGATTTGAACTGCCAAATTGCAGGCAACGGGCAGTCAGCAGAAGTAGCCTGCAGTACTGTATTCTAACCACTGCCCCACCGCGGCTCAGTAGACTGGATTTTGAGAGTGCTGACATTAATTCCATCAAAACAAAGCTAATTAGGATTTCATGATAGTAGAAGCTAGTGGGTAAATGAGCTCAGGATGTTTGGAGTGCTTCAATTAAAGCAATACTAAAACCAAGGCAGCAAATAGTTTCCCAATGGTAAAGGGAAAAAAATCAGAGTGTCTGTACAAAACGATTAATAAATATTGAAAACGGAAAAGAGCAAATAGATAAAGGACAAAGGAGGCAAGGTACATTTAGTAAGATGAAGAGAAAACTGAATTGGGAGAGAATTAGGGGAATATTTGGAGGGATATCAAAAAGTAAGGGCTCTTCTCTATTATCGTATGAAATTGGGACAATCAATTTAAATCACAAGAAAGCATTTTAATGGAGCATTCTAGCAGTAATTTGATGGTAGAACCAATTATCCAGTTAATGATGATCCCCTGTTTACTTAATGTACTCAAGAAAAGGGGCAACCATCTCTAGTTAATGCTTTCAATCTTTAAATGCTTTAAATAGTGGGAGTTGTATTTGATAGCCCAATGGCCCCTTCCAACTCTGTGATTCTAAAGAGATCACTAAAGAAATTTACAGATAAAGAATTGCAGAGCAAAAGTTCACAATGAGTAAAGATTAATGAAGAATAGTAAGAACAACAAAAGCAAGAAAAAGAAATAATATACCAGTTGCTTCATGAGGATAGCAAAATGTTAACTCATAATTATAAAAAATAGCATTACTCAATTACTCTGGCTCAGCCCCCTCCTCTAGGGGAATTTGTGTTCCCCCAGGAAATCTGTGATGGACAGACAGAAGGAGCAGGATTCTAATTTGAGATTAAAAGAGATATGTTTAGTCAATAACTAGTGAATGAGTCAAATTTGTGGAGCCTGATTAATTGTATCCTAGGATACAAGAAAAAGCCTGATGAACATTTTGTGAACTTGTATCATTATTTTTATATATAAATTTTGGAAACCAAGTAATATGTTAGTGATCAGAGAAAAATGTGGTTCCAATCTTTTAAAAGCTGAGAATAGAGAAGACTATAGATTGGTTGCTGTAGTATAATTTCTTGGAAATATTTTATTGATATTGATTGATCTGTTAATCTATAATCATCATGAAAACAGTGCAGTGGTTATTAGTGTTGTGAAAAACATTTTGAGCTTGGAATATTTCTGAACTCAGTAACCATTTTAAGCTTTTGTCGTAAATACCCATATTCAAAGAATTTACCCTGACCTAACAAAAGATGATTATTTCGTAGTGAGATTGGAACAAAACCATGTCCATTATCACAACTGCATTGTTGTAATTGCTGCTACTGCTATTTTTTACATTAGATTTAAACAAAAGTCCAGCAGAAACCTAGTAAAACAGTAGGAACCAGCTATTTCCTTGCTACTATTAGTTGAGATTAATAGGATAAGAGTAGGATAGTGAGTGTAAGAAACCAGAACTCGTAAATCATTTGTGTATGAAACATCTGCAAGAAAGCAACCAAGCTCAGAGAGCACCAAGGGCCCCTTATTTCAACACTGAGCTACAAATATTTTCCTTTATCAGTACATACTACATAGCATGATAAGTAAGTAGTTACAAAGCTGGTGCAAAATTGTATACAAAAGCTATTCATCAATGCTTCATTACCAAATTGAAATGAACTATTGAGTGGGATGTCACAAGGTTGAGGTTTATATCATCTACTCTTCAAAAGTTTGAATAATGATTTTAGTGAAAGATAGAATGAATTTGCAGAAGACATAACATTATGCCTCCGTGCCTTCCGCCGTGCCCTTAAAACTTTCCTTTTTCAACAAGCCGGGCTGGCCTAACAAATCCTTTTAAATGATTTTAAATTCGATTGTCTTTTTAAATTCTGGGCCAAATTGAGATATTTCCTTTTAATCTGTTCTTAATTTATGTATTATGTATTATGTATTTATGTGTTTTTACTTGGCTGTACACCGCCCTGGGTCCTTAGGGAGAAGGGCGGTATATAAATTTGAAGTAAAATAAATAAAAAAATAAAACAGAAACAATTCATCTAGGAAATTAAATGAATAGGAACAGAATAGGGGATGCCAGGCTTGGCACTATTTAGGAGAAAAGATACAGGGATAGTATTTAAAGACATCCAGACTATAGTAGTGATGATCTAAATTACATTGTAGTCACCATTTCCAGGACCAGATCAGGGGTATATCCAAACTCTTTGGTCCTCTGGTTGCTTTCTTGACTAACTATTATTAGGCACATATTTAAAATACCCAGAAATACTCTCTTTGTTGTGATTGGAGCTTGTATTTTTGAAGATTCCTGTTACTAATGTTTCTTTTGCAGATGTCTAATTTCACTTTCTATTTTTCCATTGATTCCGTTGATTGATTTAATAGTCAAATTGTATGTTGACTATTATGATACTGTGAATAATATCGTTGTCTTTGTAAGTTTCAGCTCATTGTTATGTTATGTCACCTTTCCACATATAGAGTAACATTATTCCCAATACTCACTCACTTCCTTTACATCAGGATTGTTTAACCTTTGGACCAAAAGCTGCATTTGGATTTGAGCTGACATCCAGGATACACATTACAAGACACAGGAAAAGATAGAGCAAAAAATTAAAAAGTTGGACAGAACAGGACAAAGAGTTCTACCATACATGATAAAAACCACACCTTCAAAATTGAGGGGTCCCTAAGGATTTTCACAGACATGGCAGCAAATAGTAGTGAAAGATTTCAAGGCATCACAAACTACTCCTCCAGGGAACCTACTTCTTTGCTACAGAATTGTATTCACAGATAATATATCCTGTTCCTCTATTTCACCAGGTGTCTAATGATGTGCAGTATTTATGTTCAGTTTTGTCATCAGGGACTTGCATATTTTCCCCATTTTGATTCTGTTTTCTTCACCCTGCCCGTTCTATTCTTGTTCCTCACTGCCTTCTTCACTAGCTATTACCTCCTACCATAACTCACTTTCTAGAAACTTTCCTCATTCCACTGACTCTTACCATTTCTCATCAGTGAAAACACTGTAGAAAGTTAGCCAGAAATTTGGAATTAGACTATACTGGTAGATGACACTGTTCTCCTATTTATTTATTTATTGCTCATTTAAAAAAATATATTGGAATGATTTTATACCACCTGAATTGTTCCAATTCTAACTGGCTCATAGCAAAAATGCAATAATATAAACATAATCATAAGTGAGGTATAATACCAGTGCAATCATGTTTAAATTATTACTTTAATTATTCTTCAGAGTCATGCTCAATCTCTCTACCTCAAGGACTTTTGTCTCAGTGTTTCAACCATATCTCAGAAGAGGAAGCAGCATTCTCCGGGGTACATCCCAACAAGCAAAACATTTTTAAAAAATACACCCCCACTGGGTCACTTTCCAACCATAATAAAATAATTAACAAAGAATAAAATCAATATATGCCAATTTATATTTATAATCACAATGAAAATAATGCTGTACATCTACAAAATCTCCACCTACTTACCATTTTATAAGATTTACAATAAGCTGCCTTTCTGTCACTCTCAAAATCTGCTCACAACCACTTCCACCAACTAGTTTTATTGAAGAAATAGTTTTAAATCCATTTTCAATGCACCCAAGAATGTGAGGATCTGGAATAGAGATAAAGAGTATTTTATCATTGAGGACCTAGATCCTAAAATACATAAAAATGTGATGGTGGAACATGCAAAACAGGATCATGACAAAACAGGAACCGGGACAATGAGTAACCCAAGACCTAAAACAGCAGCACTAAGAGTTTGAATTGAGCTCTGGTCATAAGGCAGAACAGGTATACAGAATAGTTCTTGACTTATGACCACAATTAGAACTGGAATTTCGTTTGTAAGTCATTGCAGTTGTAAGCCACCACACAACAAGACCTATTTTTAGTACTGTTGTAAGTCAAGTCACTATGGTTTTAAGTGCAAATCCTGAAAAACAGCAAAAAAAATGTTGCAAATCATGATTACATGACCGTAAGATGCTGCAAACAGTCATAAATGTGGGACAGTTGCCAGCCTCCTGAACTGACAGTGGTGATGGATCAACAGTCATATATTTGAATTTAGGATGTAACTGATTTTTTCACAGGTTTGTCGTTAATTCAAACTGACTCCATATAAAGCTCTCAGAGGGAGAGTGTGTACTGCTAAGTTCTAGACCAATACCAGTGCTTGAAATGAGGACAAAGGAAGCCCTGCCATAGACTTTTGCAATCATTCAAGCAAGAGATTTGTCAAGGTGTAGGAATTGCTAAATTTAAAGTGATGGTTAGGCTGTCTCATTTTTGCCACTGTTCTTTAGAACAAAAACCACACTGAAATATGCAGGAAGGAATTCAGAGTACATTTAGTGATATGATGCATCCATTCCTTTTTGTAAATGCTTTCTAGATAGAAGGATACTTCTTTTAAAGAAAACATTGCTTGTATTTAAATCAGGCAGCAATCTTATTGACAGTTGCTTGAGAATAAGCCACATTAAAAAATTGAGGTTTTCTTCTGAGTTAGCATGTATAGGATTTATGCTATATTAGGTGGATTGAAGAGATTGCTTTGCAGTGCTACAAATAGATTTTGGGATAATGACTACTATAAATATATTTTGAATAGTATTTGCCTTCATTTGGCTTTGACTGCTGACTGTAGTGGAATCAATCTGTGTCATCTGAATGATCAAATATTTGTTTGTTTCTTCTTCTGGAGTTAAATGTGAACTGTATTGATCATAGGAAAGAAAATAGATTCTAGGGACACTCTTACAAGATAGCATAGCTAAGCTTTTGATTTGCTTTCTTTGAATGAAAGAATCACAGGTGATCAATTAGCTTAGCCAACAATGGTAATATATAAATAAGAAAGAGTGAGAATTGGAGGGCAATGCGGGGCGAAAGGTGGGGTGAGGGAATCAGGATGTGCAAAGGAGGGAGGGAGGATTATAACATGAAGTGTTTGGCAGCCATGTGCATCCTTGTTCTAGGATTATTTTCAATAGTTGCATTCATGACTGTTAGTCATTGATAGAAAAAGCAGGTTGGTAGACCTACTTATGAATGGTATTTAGAAAATGTATCAGAGCAGGCTATCAGCACCTTCATGTTTTGGAAATTAATTCAGAAGTTGAATTAGCAACTTTTATTTGGTGGTGTTTTGTGCATTCCTAGTTCGTGTACAAGATTGAAGTGTTTACATGGTTTTGTTTGTATATCTTGTTTTTTTACAGGAGATGTGGAAAAAGGTCTTTGAGCACATAGAATCATATTTTCTTCCCATAATATGAATTTCCAGGCAGACAATTTTAAATAAATATTATATATGAAGCTATGCTTTTGGAATAGTTGAATAACTGAATTCAATATCTGTATTTTAAGTTTTGTTATTGGAACGTTATGATTTGCTTCTCTGCATTAATAAAGGCCAAATATACAAAGGGGGAATATAATAAAAGAGCATGTGGAGAAAATGAATTGCATGTGGAAAAGGACAGTGTGAGAGATGAGGAAGAATGTGTGACTTTATTTCTTTTAACTGGATTAATGGAAGTTGCAATATGGGATGGCTGGCATTTTCCTGCATGGAAAGGAGTACTAAGACTGGGCTGTATTTATATATGGCAGGGATGTGGCTGTAGAACAGGGCTGTCAAACTCGTGGCCCAGAGGCTGGATGCATCACATGCTGGCCACACCCATCCCCGGTTTAGCGAAGGGGGTTGTGAAAGTTGTGAAAAGTCATGTGACACCATCATGACAACGTGAGTTTGACACCCCTGCTGTAGAACTAGAAGATGTTGAGTGAATCTCAAAGAATCCAACTTAGTTGGAAATAAAATATGGAGGAAATAGAGTGTATATAGGGGAGTATGTGAAAAAAGAAGCAATGGAGTTCAACTTGGTGTCTTGTATACAGGAGTAACTTATATATGAGTGTGCAGAAGGGAATAACGATGGAATGTCCATCTGGGATGGGAATTATAAATGATAGGGAAAAGGTGGCACAGGTGGTAATAGGTATATTAGGAAACAGTATTCTTGCAGTGAGGATGTGTTTCCTTTGGGGAGGGGAGATTATGTGTTTGTAGATGCGGAGCAGTGAGATGGATGTGTGTGGAAATGGGTGAGGGATTTTGTGTATGTCATGCCATACTGGAGTGGAGAATCTGTGTAGGAGATGGTAGTATCTATGGAGGTGAAATGGGGCAGAGTAGCAGGTGGAATGATTATTGAATGAATGCAGAGATGCATTGTGAGGGAAATCAGATAACATGCAAACAAAGTGTAAGCAGAGGTCTTAACTGTATTCTCCAATCTATTAATTTGTAAATTGCAGGGCCCTCAGGAATTAATGTCTTTCACATGAATTAGGTCATATGAGATTTGACACCATATTTGTTTCACTGTGTGCTGCAGTCAGCTTGTGCTGAATGACTAAAATTTATTTCAAAAAGGTGCTTTGGGCCATTTAGGTGACCTTGTTCACTTGGAAGACGCTAAGAGATTATGCATTTTGCTTCAGTGAAATGATTCAGGTGGTCTCAAATTGTTTTGCACGAAGCTCCTAAGCAGGACTTCAAGGCTCACCTCCCACCCTGTCCCAGATGTATTTAGTTGCCAGATATGCTGGCCAGAAACCATGAACAGCCTGTTGAGAATTTTGGCAGTGTGAATCAGAAGTTTTAAGGCATGCTCAGCTGTTTTCCCTAACTTGCTTGGATCTTTTGCAGGCACAAAGGAGGTGCCAACAATGAGGGGACTCTGAACCTTTGGTAGCCCAGGCTGAAATAGCAAAGATCCTGGACAGCCTATTATGTGCAACTGTAGTGGTGCACCTTCCCTCAAGGATACAGCAGTATCTGTGTCACAATTTGTACCACAGCCACCTACTCCAAAACACCCTTGATGTGAATTGGAAAGTTCTGGCATGATTGACCAAGTAGCTGCAATGTAAGCAGCAATCTTAAAGTCACCAGTGGTTTGCTAATAACTAGAGGGAAGAAGGAAGGGCCTTGAGGAAGAGGAGGGAGAGTTATTACTAAGACTGAGGTGAGATTTAAAAAGGACTGAGTCGGGGCAGAAATGTAACCAGCACCTCTCTCATTCTCATGAAGATAAAAGGAGGGACGGAATTATGTTACTACAGTTTTAAAATAAAAATAGTACTGATCTACAGGACATGGCTTCCTAATCTGATCAGCCACAAAGGACTGACAGCTCTGAGATACCATATAGTCTTCCCAAGAGCTTGACAGAGTCCTTGCACATGGCCTTGCATGGATCATCCCCCAAAGTCCACAGTGCTGCTGCCCAACTTCACAGTTGTTATGTATATGAGGAGGTTAAGAGTTACCCTTAGGAAACCCTCAGCCAGCACTTTGGGAAAAATCTCCTCTGAGCCTTCTCCAACAAGCCCCTTTCAATTTACTCTCAGATTGCAAAGCAGTGCTTCATTCAGAGCTCTATGTATCAAAGCGTTCCTTTAAAGCTTTGCATAATCATATGCAAAGCTTTCATGATCGTGTCTAAGTCTTTCATTGCTTTTCTGCCTAGGATTAAAACTGTTGTTTACTTCTCCAGCACTTTCTCCATTTTTATCTATTTTTGAGCTCCAGAAAATAAAGCTATCTCTCTCCTTTAAATCTTATCATCAGCTACAAGTTGACTATGCATGCAATTTTATGTCTTTAAAATAAAACTTTTTTTTTTACTTTCATAATACATTATTTTAACTTCTTTTTACTTTTGAATAATGATATTCTATCCTCTGAATATATCAGACTGTCACTGTTCTGGCTAGTTCTGATCTCTTTCATTCCTGCCATTCTTATACTATATTAGCTCTTTAAGATATTCATAAATGGACACATATCATTGCCTCATTTTCTTTTCTGGTTCTCCAAATTCAGTTTTTATAGCAGCTTCTTGTCTTTATAAAGGCTGCTAAGAAACATAATTAGAATTTATGGCATTCATATAAACCTTACTGTGTTTCTCATTCTAACGACTTAAAAGTGGTGATAGTTAGTAAAGGTAAATCTCCTCCATACATTCTTTTTCTATTACCCATCTTAAGTTAGCTATCCAATTTCATTTTTTCTGTCTTTTCTGAAATCTTACGTTTTTTGGCATTTTATGTCTGAATGTAGCTCTATTCTTCCTAGTAACATTCCAAACAAAAAATGTCTAAAGAATTAATCTAATTTGCACACTCTCTTACATTTCTGTTGTTTTGGTTAAGCATATAAAGCAATATTTTCTCATTTCTGGACCCCCAAATATTCTTTTCTACACTTGACATAGAATTATTAGTACTTTAACTGCCTCTTCTCATGAAAGTCTGAGTAGTTCTGTGGGTATTCCGTCCATGCCTGATACTTTCCAATTTGACAGCTAGTCTTTTAGCTGTACTGACTCAATTTTTAATGGAGTCAGCTCCTGAATATATATCCTTTCTACAAATGTTTCTGTCATTCTGTAAGTCCATTTGAAAAGGGTTCAGTATAATCTTCCTTTAACCTCATTTGCCTCTTTCAGATCTTTTCGGTGAGTACTCTTTAGTATTCCTATATTAACCGTAGATCCTCTGTGATTTCTCTGATCTTCTCTCATTTCCCTTTTCTTTTTTATATTCTTCTGTTTGTTGACATGCTTGATTAAGTTATCATTCCTAGCCCCACTTTGCTTTATAGTTTAAAGTCTCTGTTCAGTCATTGTATAGCCCTGTTGCTCAAGGCTATCCTTATAGCTTGTTCTGAAAGTCACATAAATCTTTTCCTCTTGGGAATAGTCACTTACTCCCATAACTTTTCAGGTTCTTTTTCACATAAAGAAGTGTACTCAATTTGTTCTTTACATTGACTTTATATTCTAACTATATACTTTTCAGTTTATGTCTTTCTGGAACACCTATTCTCATTAATGTAACATGGTTTATTTATTCAGCATTCTGTCAGCTTCAACTGAAATATGGTTTTGGTTATAAAATCAGCACAAGAAACCATAATAGAGTAAAATTATAATAAATACACATAATATAAATAGAAAAGTACAGTTTTGCACAACTAGAAAAGCCCCTAGGCTCCCAATATCCTTTGTTTTCAAGTTGCTTTAAATCATGACAGCCTAAACTTGAACCTCAGATGAGGGTGGAGGCTGTTCTATAAAAATGGGAAGCATTACAGAAAAAAAAATTCACACCTGGCACCTCTCACCTAAGGACTGTGGTGTATCCTGAGCTTCCCTATCTCGGATGCACTTCAGAATAAGTAGCATCCAGAAGGCAGTTCTGAGGATACCTTGGCATCAATCCATATTAGGCTTTAAAGGTTAAATCCACCACTTTGAATTACCCTCAAAAGCTTATTTGTAATTAAAATAACCCCTATGTTATGTAGCCACAATAGCTGTCACCTGGCCGTATCCAGATTACTGCATTTTATACCAATCACAGCTTTCAAGTGTTCTTCATTTCTAATCATGCTCTGAATCATATATCATGCATAGTACATAGTATATAGCATATCTGGGTGAAAGTGGCTTTCTCCACTTCAATAAAATGTAGTTATTCTTAATAGAAACCAATTTGGCATGCTTTTATTTCTGCTTTGACCATTTCAGATTTTCTTGGTTTGTAGATCTCAAAGACCAGGCTTTCTTGTAATTTTTTTTGAATATTTTTAAATTGTTTTCCAATATAAACATACATATTTTGTGGACAGTGCATTGATTGGGTCAAGTCTTTTTTATACAACGTTTACAATAATAATACAAATAATATGTGGACTTCCAATCTTCCAACTTCAAACAATATTAGTCTCATTTCATATTCCTTTTACATTTTCCCATTGATTCATTTAAGTATAAATAACATTTCTTTGTATGCTATGTTTGTTATCCCTTAGTAAATGTTATCCTTCCATATTTTAAAAATCACTCATTATTCCACCATAGCATCAATATTCCAAATATATAGGATTACTAATAACACCAATTATTAACAATATTCAATCAATCACGGGAGTATATCTCAAAATCCCCACCACTTCTAATCGTAAATATTTTAAATTCACAATATTTTTAATACTCTGTTAACATTAATACTATAGTTAAATTGCCTACTCTTAATTTACCATCTACTAGTCTAAACATATTGGGATTATGGTATTTTCCCATTTTATTAATATATTTTCTCATTATCCATCATCTCTTGATCTTTCTAAAATTCCATCATCTGTTGATTTTTTTGGTTAGCCTTTTATCTCTCTCTTGGAATCTTGTATCACTTTTTGATTTTTTTGTGTCTACTAATCTTTCCCTACTGGGTGCCTTTTGTCTCTTCTCTTGCCTTGTTTGAACACCCATTCACAAAACTTCCTTTTATTTGTTTTTTAAGAGATTTTTCTCTTTTCTCTCTATACCATTATAAATTGAGAGATTATGTAATTGTCTTCTACTTATTAATCTTTTCTTCTCTTTGTTCTTAACTTCTTGCTTCTCATTTTTATTTCCCCCTTCCCATTTTTTCTAATTTCTCATCTATTTCTTGACTATCATGTTCCTCTTTTTTCCCCAGTTGTTGAGTAGCTTCTACGTTCATTTCTGTATCTTTAAACAATCCCTTTTTCTCTTTGTCATCTCTTAAGAATTCATGCATATTCTTTAACATAAACAATATTTCTTCATACATCTCTAAATCCATTTTATAGTAATTTAGTACAAATTATATAAAGTATCTTTCTATTATTCCAATAGCTCAATATTTAAGAAACTCCTGCTTAATCAAATTACATCAATCCCATAATTATACCTCCAAAACTCCACGTTTTATTTCATAATAGTTTAGAGCCTTATCGTTCCCCAATTATATATCTCCCAATTGTCCAAATTTTACAATCTTATTTCCTTTTTCTCTCTTTTCTTCTGACCCTTTTTTTCTTTTGCCTCATAGAATATTATATTAAATAACAGTAATAGTCCAAGTCAGGGGTGAAATGCTCCCGGTTCGGACTGGATCACCCGATCTGGTAGCGATGGCGGTGGGTGGTTCGGAGAACCGGTAGCAAAAATCCCTGCGCCCACCATGCCCAGCTGAGCCGCACGATCAGAGGCTTTAAAAATAAATAAATTTAAAAAAGCCTCTGATGATCATGCGGCTCAGCTGGGATCGTCAGAGGCTTTCCAAAGCATTTTTTTTCTGCAACCTCTTGGCCGAAGAGGTGGTAAAAAAAATGCTTTGAAAAGTCTCTGACAATCCCAGCTGAGTTGCCTGATCGGCAGAGAGGTATTTTTTAAAAAGCCTCTCTGAAGATCTCAGTTGAGTTGCCTGGTCGGCAGAGGCTTTTCAAAGGATTAGAAAAAATGCTTTGAAAAGAAAAAAAAAAGTTGGCTGTCCACCCAGTCACATTACCTTCCCCCCCACCACCAAGCCACGCCCACAGAACCGGTAGTAACAAATTTTACATTTCACCCCTGGTCCAAGTCCAAATTAGTCCAAATTAATCCACTAAATTTCTCCAATCTTTCCAATCCATAATCCAATCGACAATTTTAATGAAATTTGGTTATTTGCAAATGAGTTCCTTTTATAGCTCTTCAAAAGGGGAAAAAAACACCTTTGAATGTTCTCAGATTTTCCAGTTGTCTTCTAACAACAGAGTCAAGGTCAGGCCATTCACTAGATGTTGTTGCTTCTATTCTGTGTATTAGACTTTGTATGTATTAGATTAGCTTTCATTGAATATACTGCAATTTTAGCGTTGCAGTACTTCTCTTTCTCCACTAGGTGGCTCTCTTATTCCCAAATCCCAATTAAGCAATCTGTCAAAAACAGTTGATAATCCAATAAATCCAGGAGTTTTAAAATTCAAATAAACAAGTAATTTCTCCCTAAAATTGCTTTCAAATTATTTGAGTTTTTTTCCAAGCTTTCTGTATTTTATAACTTCTCTTGGGCTTTTTCTGCCCTTTCGTTTCTGGTTGTTGTTTTTTTCTCCTTGTATTAATTTGCCACTATTTTAATCTTAGGTGTTTTCTTTTCGTATTCTTTTTGTTATTGCAAGTCATTAGAGTAAAAGTTGGTAATTATCTCACCCAGTTTCAATGTTCTGTCTATATACTGCTTCTGCACAATCTTGGGTCCTGATTGTCCCGGCTTTGTGACTGCCAGCAATGGCAGTCGTGCCTGTTGCTATTCGGGAGAGCTTGCTTCGGACCTAACGAGGAATTTTCAGTTTCCTCATAGCCAGTGAAGCACCTCTCCTTCCTTCACCTCCCCTACAAGGAGGCTATGACCCCGAAGGGTCTCCCGGCAGCGGTTACCAGCTGGATTTTCACAGGGCTCAGCAGAGCCCACTATTTTCCATCCGTTCTCACCTCAGCTGCAACCGGAAGTCCTTTTTTGTAATTTTGGTTTGGTCACATTTCTGTCTCTAGACCTACTTGTGAATGTTCTATGCTCTGCTCCAATAACTAGAGGATCTGAGAGTTTCCTCATCTGGCTAACAAACATATTTAAATATGTAACTATTGTTAAATATGTAACCATTCCTACCTTTTTTTCAAGAAGTACCTCAGAGCACATAGTTCAAATTCACCATCAGTGATACCAACTAGTTTTCTTTGTAATGAGTGGAATTTGAAAGCTAGATTAAACTACAAATGGTTGTTGCTGTTGTTATTAGTATCTTTCTGAAGATTTCTGAAAATATAACGAACACATTAGACAGTTTTCTTCCTATACATACTTCTAATCCACCCCAATAGGGTTCAATCTCTTGAACAAACCCATTTTGTAGTAAATTATTGTATATACAATGTCTGATAATAATCAGATACTTGGCCAGCAAAATTTCTTCCATCATGTCACTGTCATTCTATTCTGTCATTCTATTCTTGTTATTCTATGTTCTGTGTTCTAAAGTTCTAAAGTTTTTCATGTTCTAAAGTTCTGTGTTCTAAAGTTTTTCATGGTGAGCAGGAAGATATGTATCCTCCACTACTCTGTATAAATGTGATTGTGTGTAGATGTAGTCCTCAAATTACAACCATAATTGAGCCTGCCTATTACGGTCATAAATTGTGACAGTCATAAAGCTGATCATTCATGTGACTGATCCAATTTTATGACTTTTTTTGTAGCAGTACAAAAGCAAATGCTGCAGTTGTAAAGCAAATCCATTGTTCACTATAGACATTTTTGCTAAAAGATGTAAATGGATCCTGATTTTCAGCAAAATATCATAAAAGTGTCAGGTATACTGCAAACACCCATAAATGAAGGCTGTTGCCAAGAGCCCAACATGCAGGATTTGGGGGGGGGAGGGTCCAGCCATCAGAACATTGGAACTGAGTTGTAAGTAGCCTTGGGGAGGTCCGTTGTACCTTCAAACATTCACTAAGCAAATGTTAATAAATCGAGGACTATCTGCCTATGTATATGCAGACATTTTGTGAAGCAGTAAATGGGAATCCACTTTTAGAAAGTGGTGGAGTCTGTTTTGTCTTTTCTAAATTAAAAGATACCTGATATATTAAAAGAAGTACTGAACTTTTGAGTTGCAGAACAATCTACATGGATTGCAAGACTTTTTTTTTTGGACTTCAGGAATTAACGGAAAAGAAAATCATTTGATTTGCACCATCATTTGATTTGTTTTTTTAATGCAGTACAGGTAGTCCTCGACTTAGAGTGGTTTGTTTAGTGTCTGTTTGAAATTACAAAAGTACTGAAAAAAGTGACTTATGACAAATTTTCACACTTATGACCATCGCATCATCCCCATGACCATGTGATTTACATTCAGATGCTTGACAACTGGCTCATATTTATGATGGTTGCAGTATCCCAGGGTCATGTGACCATCTTTTGCGACCTTCTGACAAGCAAAGTCAGTGGGGTAGCCAGATTCACTCAGGCTAATTCACTGCTGACTGCCAGGAGTTCAATTCTGACTGACTCAAGGTTGACTCAAACTTCTATCCTTCCAAGGTCAGTAAAATGAGGACCCCGATTGTTGGGGGCAATGTGCTGATGTTGTAAATTGCTTAGAGAGGGCTGCAAAGCACTATGAAGCAGTATATAAGTCTAAGTGCTATTGCTACTAATTTAATAACTGCAAGGATTCACATAACAAATGTGGCAAGAAAAGTCATAAAATGGGACAAAACTCACTTAACAAATTACTCATTTAGTGACATGAATTCTGGACTCAATTGTGGTCATTAGTCAAGGACTAGCTGTACAATATAATTTACAGTTTACCAATCAATATACAAATCAAAAATTATCATTCATTTTTGTACTCCACTTTTATCAGTGCACAGTAACTATAGTAGAAGACCTATTTAATATATGTTTAACATATAGGACTAAAATATTTAGTAGGGATGAGGAAAAAAATCAGGATTAAAATAAATAAATATTATTCCTTCCCAGACAGAATGATGTAAGGAACCTGACTCATTTTAAATATTTGTTCTTCTTACTAGCTTTCTAGATGTTGAGTTATGCTGCTTGTAATACTAGGAGTTTGGCAGTTGCATATATGGGAAGAAGAAATAATGCACTGAGAAAGTAAATATAAGTAAACAAAGTAAACATAAGGCAACAAGACCTGAGGAGGAATGATGACTATATATGCCATATCTACTTCCTTCATGTTCTGTCTTTAGTGACCTGCTAAAGAAATGAGTTTTGTTTTATACACTAATGAAGGGAAAGGAGACTTCTGAATCAAAAAATGCAGAACACAGTCCGGTCCCAAGTGTGCTTCCATAACAATCTCCATGCACGCTTGTTAGCTGTAACAGTGAGTACTAGCTCCCAGTCTCCCAATTACCTCTAATTGGATAATCCCAGGCATTCATCGTGATGTAATCTATCAAAGCTCTCATGTTCTCAGTTCTTGCTGCCTTCCCTAGTTAAATAGCCTGTCGCTTTAAAATTCTGTTGTTAGATTTCCTCTCAGCATTCTATATTATGTTCACAGTATTTAGCTGCCTTTGGGAGTTTCTTTTTCTTTTCTTTTTTTTCCCTTCCATTCGTGTCCGATTGATCTCAAATTCTCAGAGATCTCCTGGGTAGGTCCCTGCTGTTTTCTTCCCAGGGTTTTCAGAAGTGCTTTTGCCTCTTTCCCAGGGCTGAGAGAAACTAACTGGCCCAAGGTCACCCAACTAGTTTCATGCCTCAGATGGGACTAGAACTCAGGTCTCCTTGTTTCTATCCTGATGCTTTACACCAGGGGTGTCAAATTCACGGCCCACGGGCCAGATGCGTCACACACTGGACACGGCCACCCCTGGTTTAGTAAAGTGGGGAAAAGTTGCAATACATCCCATGACGATGTGTCGTTGCGAGTTTGACACCCCTGCTTTACACCAAACTGGCTCTTTACAGGATTGCTAACTGGGAATGGAGAGAGAGGATGTTGAAGACAAATGTGCTTGGAAGCATTTCTTTGGTCACCAATTTCCCATTTGGTTCTTAGAATAGAGTGCCCCCCCCCCCTCTCTCTCTCTCACACACACACACACACACACACACACACACACACAGAGAGAGAGAGAGAGAGAGAGAGACAGACACTTCTCTCCTACTGCTTAGTATTCCAATCTACAATTAAGTAAATACTTATCTAATATTCTTGGCCAGGGCTTATCATCCAAGAACTCCAGGCGAGCTTGACCTTGGGCCAGTCATACTCTCTCAGCCCAACTCAACTCACAGGGTTGTTGTGGGGAAAATAGGAGGAAGAAGTTGTGCTGGATATTTTAGCAGCCATGATTTTTAAATATAATAAATGCAGGACATTAATAAACAAACTCCAGCCCAGTTGCTGAGTCTAGTGTCACAATTCCTTGTTTTTAACACACTTCTCTGTTTTGGAACAAGAATTATTTGTGACGTTATCTGCTTGTATGTTCACTATGATTACAAATAGAGAAAATAGGCATTCTTTAAATATGAGCTCAGAAGTTTTCCTTTCTTGTTTTAATATAGGACTATATAGTGCTATTTTTCCATCCTTATGTTCTAATTTTGACATTGGATAGAAAGCCTTTTAAGGTCTGCAACAATCCAAAACCTGTTAAAATCCTTTAAATGATATTGTATTTGTGCTTTTTGCTTTTTCTAAATCAATTCCTGTTATTAGTTTTTGAAAACAGTGTACCATTACGAAAGCAATTACTTAATGCACTTATAAATCATTATTTTTATATTGTTTAATTGATGGGCAGTTTTTAAAAAAGTATATCATTGATGAATTAATTAATAAAAAGCTGAAGTTTTTATCATATATTATTGTGTTTGACCAAGTTTTTTTTTTTCTGATTAAAATGCAGGAAGAAATGTGTTGTTTACTAATGTAATGCTATTGGAGGTTTTAGGCTATGACATCTTTTCGGGAATATATTCTCATTTGGAGACAATTCCTGGAATTAATGTAATTGGGGATTTTCAGTCATAGGATCCTAAAACTTTTCACATTAAAATTAATGCAAGCTTTATAATGGTGTTAATGGTTTCTTGGAAATGATGCTGCATGCCTTTTAACACTGTAATGTACTTTTTTTTTAATTTAAAGACCTTAGATCTTAGATACATCATGTTCACAAACTGTAACTGAAAATGAACCAGAGGCTAAAACTTCAATGCAACAGCAAAGATGTCTGCTCAGTACAGTACCATTAATCTATTTTCTTTTTCTTTTTCTTGCTTTTCTTCTTTCTCTTCAATAGAAGTGGAACAAAAAGGTAATTAAATAGCTTTCACCTGTTTTATACATATACTCATTCTAAGCAATTCGGGGATAAAATGTTAAATGCTTGAATGTTAGTTGAAGCTCTTTCATCATTAACCTACACCACTTTAATCTCTTTTATTAAAGATTTGGTCAGGGAAGGAGTGGCTGCTATTTAATACTAACATGTCATCTTTTTGCAAGAAATGTTTAATAGTACCATTCTTCTTTCCTACAGATTGTTTTAACAATTATAATGTATTCCTTCTGCTTCCTCACAATTTATGGGAAGCATATGAAATAATTTGCAAGAATACTCACATACTGTAGTATTGAAAATTGTTTTTGTATAATATTTAGTATTAAACATTAAAAGGTACAATCTCATGCATGCCTACTTATAAGTAACTTTTCGGAGTGGTATATTTTTTTGAGTGTGTACAAGCTATAGCTTCAAAGTATAAATTGAATGAAAAAGGGTTTGAATAGTTCTTGTCCAAAAATTGAAAAGCTAAATTTTCTGTACTGTATTTGGTTTGATGCCTAGTACAGTTGAACAGACAGCAAAGGATCAAGACCACACTGCATAGTTTATTCTCTCCAGCTTACTATCTGTGTTCACTTGAGCCAAGGCTCCCACTTTTGGGAGAGTTTGGATCTATAAGTACATAGGGAACATGTATTTCTGCATTTGAGTGTATACTATACAAACTTAATATAGATTTCTGAAGATCTAGGATAATGTTGATTGGTATACTTATTACACATTTTGATGTTGAAGTTTGCATTATCAAAACCATGAAAAATATAATAGTACAGTATCACTTATTTAATAATGAATTTATTTATGCACTTACTTGCTTATTTTACTCATTTATTTATTATTGTTTGAAACCGACCCTTGCAGTTCTCAGGGCAATGAATAATCAGTTGAAATTATATTAAGGAAAACCAAGCAATATAAAAGAAAGCATAGGAATCATCAGTGCAAAATCACTAGCAACAATAAAAAGAAGTAAGATTAAATGTATCTATAAACTCGCACTAATGAAGGAGGCCATAAAAAAGGTCTAAAACCACTAAAATGGTTTTTAAATGCTGGCAATAGAGAGTACTAAAAATAAAACAATATAGATGCCAGACAAAGGCATTTTAGAAACAGGCCATCATCTCTTTTGTGTCTTCCCTTCTTTGGTGAAAGCAGATTGAGATACCTATAAATTTTTGAAGGCCCAAATGATTCTTCAGGATACATCCTTTAATGCTGTTTTGTCTAGACTGAATCTTAGTTTATTAGTTCTTTAATCGATTCTTTATTCTGCTTCTGAATATCAATTGCCTTATTTGTATTAAGAAAGGAGGACTGGGTGTCACCGGCAGCATATTGATAATAATATGCATATTTAAAAGCTCAGGAAATAAAGTCCGGAGGAACCCATTTCATAATTTCCTTGAAATAAACAATCATCTCCTCAGTGCCACATTGGAATTAGCTATCCAAATAGGAGGGGAACCATTGTGCTACCTTCTTCTTCATCCCAATTTGTTCATAAAGTGAATGGGATTAAAAGTTATTGAGAGAAAATGACTTTAATTCAAAAGTGCCCGATGAGGGTAACATGCTATAATTGTTTTAAATTTTCAAACCACTATTAATAATAATTTATTAAACTTGAATGCTGCCTGGCTCTTAAATAGCAGCATGCTCACAGCTTCTTTTGAAGAGGCTGGGGCAGTCCATGTTCCTTATGGCAGTTCCAGCAATCATCCAGTTAACTGAAAAATCACAAGTGGATTGTACACTAGCTTTTTCATCATGGTAGAGGTGACCCTGGGCCAGGCTCTTCTGAGGAGCATTACACACATGCACGCACACAAACACACGGTGCCTCTCCAGCTTCTTACTCTTCACTCCTGCAATTTTTTTCAACCTTTAAGAACTAACCAAGCAGATGCACAATAACTAGCTAAGAGAGTATTTCTTAATTTTCATCTGAGTATAAATTTGTTTCATTGAATACAAAAATGCCCTTGCGTGGGCACTTGCAGCTATCATTTTAAATATACATCTTTTATACCTCATTCCATTTTCAATGCAAAGACAAAGGGACTTGTTTCCCCTACAATTTGCTCAGTTCAAAGGTCTGGTATTTACTATGCCTGGAAATGCCTATGATTAAGATTACAGAAAAAGGGATGAGGAAAGTATGCCTATTTGTAATCATAACTTGAAAAGAACTAATATAAAAATAAATTATCTTAGTAATCAGTTCAGACGCTCCCATTTTAAATGTATTCATAGTGATATCTTTTAGTGACAGTCCAAAGTGTTCAGTATTTGATTTTGAGAGGGATCCTTTAGGGCACTTCCACAGCATCAGTGTTTCTGTCACCACTCATCCACACAAAAGGAAATAAATTGCTAGGGAACTTTTCCACTCATGTTTTTTAGTATATCAACTGTGCAGATTTGTCTGATGTTCTGTAAAGAAAAAAAAAAGAGGTTGCAGAGTCAGAAATGAAAGTTCTGAGAATCAGAACTCAGTTCCCAAAAGAAAGTGATATTCAAAGCTAATCATGAAGCTATAGAGAGTGTTGGGTGAAGGTTCTCCTATAGTCCCAGTGCAAAGGAATACTACTGTAGAAAGAAAGGGAATACATCTTTCTTTGAAATTATATTTTTTTTAAAAAATTGAAAGGAAGAGAAGGTAACTTTCCAAATGGTAGCATGAAAGCTGAAAGTTCTGTTCCTACTTTGAGCTGCTATTGCATTTCAGCCATTCTTCTTTTGAGGGACAAAGGATATTTGCTGAGAATACTTAGGGATCCTTGGAAATTCAGTCTGACCCTAAATTTTTAATCTAAGGCATGGCTGTCCAACCTTTTGGCTTGCCTGGGCTACTTTGAGTGAAGAGGAATTGTCTTGAGCCACATAGAAAATATAACTAATAATCACTTAATAATGTTAAAAATTTACAATCTTGTGGGGCTACATTTTTAGTGGTCCAGGGCCATATGTGGCCCTTGGGACACACCTGATCTAAGGTCCTATATAGGATTAAAAGATGTCTTCTGATTCCTTGAGCCAATCACAAGGTAGCAGAAGTAAAGCAAATTAGCAAAGCCTGGTTTAAAGACCACCACCACCACCGCCTCCCTACACTTAACTAAATATTACATTATTTACTTAGAATTAAGGTTCAGAGCAAGTAGGATGAAAATTGCTGTTGGAAGAAACTAGGCATTTGGAGGGAATCATTTCCAAATAGAAAGAAACCCAAAGTTCACTATACTAGCTGCAAAAGGAAGAGACAGAGCTGTCATTTCCCCTCCATTTTTTCACCTCAGAAGACAACATAGAGTATGTGAAACATTTCCCACCCCCAATGGTCTCTGGCAAACCAAGTAACCAACCCTTTTTCCTCAAGGAACTGCAATTCCAGGGATGTACAATTCTGATTAGCTTGAGGGCCAAACACAATAAGCAGGAACAGGGCTTCCCTCAGGAACTCTAGAGGGCGAAATGAGTGCCTTGTATGTCAATTGGGAGTTGGTTAGTTGGAAAGGCTGGAAAAGCACCAAAGAGATCAGCATCTGTTGCCAGTTTCTTAATGGAGCTGACTTAGAATTGGAATATTGACATAGACATTCCAAGTAAAGTTTCTATCCTACTTCCTTCTCTGCCTTATTTTTCAGCCATGGCTGTTGCTGAGGTCAGATCACTTACAAAAGTCTTGGCATCTCGGTTTCAATATTAACATATAATTGTTTTTGAAATGCCAGTCTTAATGCCAAGCTGAGCTTTAGTGAGAGATTGGCCTCAATAGGTAAGGCTTTGCTATACAGTTTATGTGGGAACATTTCTTCTGCTCATGCTTTGCTTTTGTCCTTCCAATCCAAGATGATCCCACATTCATTCTTTGAATGTTGTGTAAAAATAGTAATTGAGAACCCTCCAGGCTCAGGTGCCAGTAGCAAATTTTTGAAGATGGATTTATGCTGTAAGAAAATTCCCCTTCCGCTTCAGTTGCAAACACCATCCAGTATAAGGATTGTCCTAAGGACCAAAACAGGAGAGGAAAGGATTTGCAGGCCATACCTGCTATTTTCCTTTAATTGATACATACATCCCAGCTGATGTTGTTTGTGTTGTGACCCAGGCCCAAGTAAGTAGTAGGAAAATCAGTCAGTGAAAAAACAAATATTATTCGAACAACTGAGAATTACTTCATTCCCAGCGTCGTTCAACTAAATTAAAGCAAATTCCTCCCAACACAAATTCCTCAGTCCTATCGCAAACTTTGATCCAATTAGGCAAACTGCCAAAGGCCTTTCTTGACAAACGTTCAGAAGTCACAGATACAAAAATAAATACAAGACGTAGACAAAGAAGAAGACAAAGCTACCAACATTGTTTTCTGGCAAAGCCCAAACGCCATTGCTGGTCTGTTTTAAGTCTTATGGGAGAGGCCAATCATCTCTAGGCCCTACTTCCAAGTTGTCCTCTTTGCTTGAGCTGCTCTTGCCTTCTGGCAGCTCTTCTCATGTGTGCATTAGGAATAGGCTCCTCCTGTTCCTCTGCCTCACTCCTATCAGTCTTTGGAGGCTCTGGAGTCCGCACCTCACTCCCCGATAGCCCTGGCCCCATCTCTACCTCTGATACAGAGCCCTCATCCGGGCCTTCCCCAGCCTCCAGGACTGATCCATGTTCTTCCTCAGCTTCATCGCTGTCTGACTCCGCTGCCAGCTCTGCAGGCTGCTGGCGGACCACAACAGTTTGTATTTTTATAAACCAACATATTAAATGCAAACACAAATTTCATGTCATACCTTGTTTGGCTTAGCTTTAGACAAGATAGGGGAATTCTGTGCATTACACTATTTTGACTATTTCCATTTTTGCTGGGATAATGGGTACAGAACTTAATGTAGTAACTGTATACAAAAAATAGACCTTATATGAACCAAAAATACAATAACATTATAATGCAATGGATTACATTCTGAAAATTTAAGTACAGGTAGTTCTCAACTTATGACCACAATTGGGACCAAAATTTCCATTGCTAAGCAAGGCAGTTAAGTGAGCTACACCCAATTTTATGACCTTTTTGCCATGGTTGTTAAGCAAATCACTGCAATTGTGGTCACTAAGCAAACTTAGTTTTCCCCATTGATTTTGCTGGTTGAAGCTGGTTGAGAAAGTCGCAAATGATGATCACATGACCCTGGGCCACTGCAACCATCATTGCCAAGTGTGCAAATTTTGATCATGTGACTATCAGAATGCTGTGATACCTAAAGGTGCAAGGACTGATCATAAATTACTTTTTTCAAGGCCATTGTAACTTTGAGTGATTGCTAAACGAATGGCTATAAGTCAAGGACTACCTGTACAATAGTTAATCATGTAGCAAAGTTGGCATTTAAAAATGTTTCTTAAAAAGAAATGGAATTATATCTAAAACCATATTTTGGTATTGGAGGGAAATAATAATTACAAGATCTGTGGAATGGAACATCTCAGCAGGTCAGTCTTGGCAGTTATGAATTGCTTAAGTAATGTTTTTATTTTTATGTATTTCAGAGGACATTTTAATGTTTTAACTTAGTCTTCCTGTATTGCATTTTGCTTTTTGCTTTTTATTGCTACTATTTTTTTCCTTCCTCAGGACACATTCTTTTAATTGTTTATTATTTGCTATGGATTCATTCTGAATGTATTTATGTGGCAATTCCCCAGCCCTTTTTAATATTTAAACTGCACACCATAAGAATGATTTCTCTGAAATAGAGTTTAAATGTCTTTTTAGTTGCTTTTTCTGGTTTTATAGCAGTATATGTTGTATATGTCATGTCAAAGTTAAAATTTATAATCCCTATAAATTTCCCCTTATAACTTTTCTAGTGCAGAGCACCATTCATGTATTTTCAGAGTTAGGAGAAGACTGATATTTTTAGTTCTTCTCCTGGAACTTGCGTTATAAATGTCTAAGTGCCAAGAAAAAGTTTTCTATCACATTTAATAATCAATTTTACTTTTAACCTCTTCCTTCCCTTCAGTTTTTCTTTGCCCTGGACTACTAAAAGGAGTATACCAGAGTGAACATTTATTTGAATCTGATCACCAGTCAGGAGCCTGGTGTAAGGATCCACTGCAGGCTTCTGACAAGATTTACTACATGCCATGGACACCATACAGAACTGACACTCTGACAGAATATTCTTCCAAAGACGATTTCATTGCTGGAAGGCCAACTACAACTTACAAGCTCCCACACAGAGTGGATGGCACAGGGTTTGTGGTGTACGATGGGGCTTTATTCTTCAACAAAGAAAGAACAAGGAACATTGTCAAATTTGATCTACGGACAAGAATAAAAAGTGGGGAAGCTATCATTGCTAATGCCAACTATCACGATACATCCCCTTATAGATGGGGAGGCAAATCTGATATAGACCTGGCTGTTGATGAGAACGGTCTTTGGGTGATCTATGCAACGGAACAAAATAATGGTAAAATAGTCATTAGTCAGCTAAACCCTTATACCTTGAGGATTGAAGGGACATGGGATACTTCCTATGACAAAAGGTCAGCTTCCAATGCATTCATGATCTGTGGCATTTTATATGTAGTGAAATCTGTGTATGAAGATGATGATAATGAAGCTACAGGAAATAAAATTGACTATATATACAACACTGAACAAAGCAAGGAAAGTGTAGTGGATGTTCCATTTCCAAATTCATATCAGTATATTGCTGCAGTGGATTATAATCCAAGGGATAACCTTCTTTATGTATGGAACAACTACCATGTGGTTAAATATTCATTGGATTTTGGACCAATGGACAGCAGAACAGGTAAGGTTCTTTGATAAGTTTTATTTTCTGTCATCTCTTGATTTGCAACCAATTTAGTCCATGGTTAAGGCCAAACTTTTTCCTTCCATTAAAAGCAGCAGGATGGGAGTTTGACTGGGAAATAGATGAAAAACGTTTATCTGTGAGTGTTTTTCTTTCACCTTAAACATCGTTCCTCTCCTTAACTACTACTCCAGTGGAGATGAGAAAGACAATGATGGGATTCATGTAATCCTTTATATAATCCCTTAGGAGGTTTATCATTTATTCAGTTAACATGTTGTCCATTCAAGTCATTGTTATTCAGTTGCATTGTCATTTATAGAAACATAGAAAATTGACAGCAGAAAAAGACCTACTGGTCCATTGAGTCTGCACTTTGAAGTTTTTTATTACTATGGTTTTATTTTTATTTTTGTGAGATGATGAGTATGTTTATCCCAAGCATATTTAAACTCAGTTACTGATGACTGACCCACTATTCCTGCTGAAAGTTTGTTCCAAGCTTCCACTACTCTTTCTGTGAAGTAATGCTTTCTAATATTACTTCTGAACTTCCCTCCTGACAGTTTGAGGTTATGCCTCCATATTCTTGATTTTTGTTTAATATTGTACAGCCTTACTCATACTCTTAATATATTTAAAGGTTTCAATCATGTCTCCCATTTCTCTTCTGTCCTCTAGACTGTGCATATTCACAATCTCTCTTGATATGTTTTCTCCCTCAGATTTTGCACCATTTTTGTGGCCCATCTCTGGACTCACTCAATGTTGTTAATACTTTTTTAATAAATGAGGTCTCCAGAACTGGACACAGTATTCCAAATGGAGTTATCTAAAGCCCTATATAGATTATGATTTCTATTACAATTTAATGTTATATGTAAATTCATAAATTGTGCATTATTCAGTGAACCATGTTTAAACAAAATGTAGTGCTTAGTGCCATGCTTGAAATACAGTCATAATCTTAATGAAAGAAAACTTTTGTTTCTTATTAAATTTATATCCTGTCTTTATTTTGTGCAGTTCAAAGTAATAATGTTCCTTCCTCTTCTTATTCCTTTTTCCCATAAAACAACTACCTTGTGAGATGGGCTATGCTGGGAGAACATGTTTGGCCCAAGTCACCCCACCAGCTTCCATGCCTACCAGAAGGCTCATAGTCTCCCAGATATTACAAGCTTTTCTAATTGATCAAAATGATTTTTAGTTGATTACCTTAACAACTGCTACATGAATGTTATATTTTCTAAAGCACCATTCGCTGTTTAGAAAACAGTATACTGTTGCAGTGTTGAACATTTGTATACTGTTGTTTTCTGGAAACTTTAATGTAGATTGAAATGAGATGGTTATTTCCATTAAAAGGAATTAAACCAAGGAATAAAGGAATTCAGCAGAGGATTAGCAGACCATCAATTTTCAGCAGCAGAACAGACAAAATGGGAATTAAATAGAAATACAGAGGAAGGAAATGGACTCATGATTTGGCAAGGAAAGAAAGGTGCCTTGTGTAGTACAGAGAATAGAAAGATAGCCATCAAGATATAATTTATTTGTTTTGTTCCTATAGCATTTTTTTTTTTTTTGAAGCGCAATACTTTACCTAATCTCTGGAGTGACATAGAAGAAATCTAAAAATATACAGCTGTGACTTATTTGCTGGTAGAATATTGTATCTGTTCCTACATACTATCTTTCAGTATAGACAAATCTGAACTTGTTTATACTAAAGTTTTAAAATATCAATTGGCCCTTATTGCCACCCTGTTGAAAATGTCATTGATGTAGTTGTAGAATACAGAGCGACAGGCAATAATTCTTTATGGGGATAATTGTGTAAGGAATATCATGAAAGGCATCTTGCAAGTGCTCCGTATATAGTGTAGCCTTTCTTTTCAGTGGCCATGATTGAATAAAAATCCTAAAATTTATGTTCCAGTTTCAAAAAGACCCCTAAATGATTCAAAATTATGTAAAAAATAAAATAGAATATGTAAAAGAAAAAAAAAACCAGCCCAAACTACAGAAACAATAGTCATTGAGACACAAACAAAACATTGCTTAGTAGCAGTGATCATCTCCCAGACTATCAATCTTCAGAGGCTTTCTAGAACAGCCAGATTCTGGAGGCTTGCTTATTTATTTGTTTGTTTGTTTGTTTGTTTGTTTGTTTGTTTGTTTGTTTGTTTGTTTAATCAAGCATGTATAAGATAACAGATCTAAGTATAAGCATGATTATGAATACATGAAATGGATACGAATAAATGGGGACAGTAGGACAGGGACGGTAGGCACGCTGGTGCTCTTATGCACGCCCCTTACAGACCTCTTAGGAATGGGGTGAGGTCAACAGTAGACGGTCAACAGTTAAAGTTATGGGGGTTTGGGGATGAAACCATAGACTCAGGTAGTGCATGCCAGGCATTGACCACTCTGTTGCTGAAGTCGTATTTTCTGCAATCGAGTTTGGAGCAGTTTACCTTAAGTTTGTATCTATTTTGTGCTCGTGTATTGAGATGGTGTGAGTTGACCTCGGGTAGGGCTTTGCTTCAGAGTAGAGAAGTAGCTACAGAAAAAACACATCCTTGTGTTCCTGATTATGGGAAGGATAGTAGTTCAGAAGTCATTTATCATTCTTACTGGATTAGCAGAAGCAGTTGAGGGAATATGGTGACACAAATATCCAGAGCCTAAATTGTAGTTGTCAAGACTGACAGAGGCACAGTTAGAAGTTACACGAGATGCTTATATCTCAGTCCAGAGAAGCAGCTCTCGTATCCACAGTATTAGTAGTAATAATTTTTTAATTGATTAGTATTGTGGCCATATCAAATCAAATGAAAATAAACTACAGGATCTAATTCCAGAGTAAAGTAGATGGAAGGAAATACCCACAGGAATTTCCAGGAACAAGATCAAGTGTCAAAAGTTTATCAACAGAGCCAAAGTCCTAGACTATGTAAATACTACAAAGGATGACAAAGTGCAATCCTCAGATCCTACTCATTTTCCTTATCTTCAAGCTTTAGAGCCTCTGACTTCTCAAGTCAGAGTGATTGAGAAACCTGCAAGTTACAGAAACTGATTTTTCCAGGTAAAAATTATTATTATTATCAGAATAATCCCTAGATGCTATTAAGGTAACAAGCATACTTATCACTTCAGAGATAGGAAATCGACATTTTAATCTTGTTTATTATATGTTTCTGGATTACATATCATTTACAGCTCAAAAGAAGGAAAATATAGTAAAATAGGACCCATTATATCGTAGAGGAAAACCAAACTGAGGTATATTGTTCCGGGAAAGAAATGCAAATAAGGGATTATAAATTGTTTCTATACTTTCATTCTTTTGGATACATTAAGATGGTGCTTAGCCTTAGGCTAGTTACATTTTTTTTAACTGTAAATGCACTCACTACAAACAATTGCTGCACTTTCTACTATAATAAAAAACATAATGTCAATAAAAATAGAAGAATTTTTTTGATTTATTAAAAATTAAAACTTTTAAACAAAAAAGATAGTTATTTAATAGAATTTTGACTTATTATAGATAAATGTAGATAGACCTAGACATACAGTAGACATACGCATACACATACGTATCTTTAAACCTGAAACATTGATTTAACTTGATTGGATTTGGGGGATTTTGTGTTTGTTTGTTTGTTTGTTTTGTTTGTTTGTTTGTTTGTTTGTTTTCCCCACAAGGAAAACCTAAAATTTTGTGCATATAATAGGACAAATAGAAAAAGTAAAAATTCCTCTTTGGAAGAATAAGCAAATCACTTAAAGGAGTTATAGATTCAATATAAGATTCTAAAACATTCTATTAATAAAAATTAGCAATGATTAAAGGAGTCCTGGTGGAAAATTGCTGACTCCTCTACTTCATCAAGTAGTCACTCAAGCCTGGGAACAATATTTTAGAGGGCTGTATGCAAACCCAGCTTGTAATATGCACAAGACTCAGATCAATTTGGATCAAATACAGTATATAATAGTGCCATTATGGACATGTTTTGGGGAATGCAGGATATTAAATCATGTTTTTCATCCTCATATATTTTTAAATTATTAATGTAACTTATTAAATATGTACATCAAACCTTCAATCCAATTGCATATTAATTTAAAGAAAAATCCAAAAATTTATATCATAAAATAAAAAGTTAAAAGTAAATTAGGAAAAGGAAGCAGATATATACTTTACCAGGCAAGGTTTACATTGTGAATTTTAAATGTTAGAACATAGTCAAGGAATTGTGCTCAAAATGCATGCAACATTTTATTTTTTAAAAAAAAAGAAAACTATAGGGGCACACAAGTAGGAAAACAGACTAATTATTTACTTATACAAACAATGAGATGTATATTGCCCCCTCCTGAGATTCTAGGCAATTTACAATAAAGCAAAAATATAAGCATCAATAAAAACATTATATATTAAATTGCATGTATATAATAGTTATTTCTTGATTAGGGAGGAAGAGAGAAGGGCAGGAGCAGGAAAAATAGAGTATATCTGACAATAGGTATTACTAAACCTATTACTAATTCAGTCCAAAGTTTCCAGACTGTTTTATTCCCAGAACAGTAGATTTTGCACATATTCTCTCTACTAACATTTCATCTTTTGTTTGCTGTTGCTGCTGTTTCCTTCTTTCTTCTCAGGCATGCATTCCCTCCTAGCCCAAAATATGAGTGGATATACCACCAAACAAGATACCAAATTTATTCATGTAAAGAACATAGGAATAAAAGAGACAAAACCGAAATAAAATACAGAGTATTAAGTCCCAAAATCTTCCCCCAAAAGTCTTCAGATTTTCCAGAATGCAAACAACATTGAAGAAAAGGTTAATCTTTAATGGGTGGTCATTCCAGACGGCCAGCACTCCTGACCTTCAGCCCTTTACCACCTGAAAATGAAGGAATACTAGTTGTTTCCCCCAGCATAATCGACTTATTCTAATAGGGAGATGTAA